GGGGGGATGTGGGGGGCAGGTGGTGGAGTGGGGAGATGGGAATGGAGGGGGGCTGACTGAGCTTAGAGGGCTGGGAAGTGTGGGGGGGGCCCTGCGGAGGGGGCTGGCAGAAGGCAAGATGTGGGGCCACATTAACCCCTCCCCTGTCCTTTCCCGGGATCACAATGGGGCCCAGAGCCTGGGGGGCGGGGGGGGGAGACACTGGTCCTTGTGTGTTGCCGGCTCCATGACCTGTCCCAGCCAGTCCTTGGGCTTCGGGGCTTTGAGCTGACCGGGGGCTTTGTTTGTGGGGCTGGGGGGAGCGGGCTACCCCAAAAGAGCTGGCGTTAGGGTGTGGGCAGGGGGGTAGCTAGGAGCGTTGCACTAATTGCCGGGGGGTTACTCCGGATTTACACCCGGGAGTAGCCGGGAGCGATGGGTCACTCCCTGCACCCCATAAGGCGTTGGAGATCGGTGGAGTTGCTCTAGATTTACACAGGGTAGTAGCTGGGTGCAATGCACTGCTCTGATTTTCCCCCCTGCCCTTGCATATGGGTTACTCCGGATTGACACCTGGAGGAGATTACTCTGGATTGACACCTGGAGCAAAGCATTGCTCTGATCCCCCTTGCATTTGGGTTACTCCAGATTTACACCTGGGAGCAATGGATCACTCTCCGATCTCCGCCGCCTTTGGAGTCTCACTGCTTACTCTGGATTTACACCTCTGAGGAGAGGGGCTACGCTTTGGTTTTCGGTCACCTTTTGGCTTGCACTAGGGTTACTACAGGTTTACACCTGTTGATCTGGCTTTACGTCCCGCCCATGCTCAGGTGCTCCAGAGGGGCTGAGAAGTTGGGTTAGGTGCATTTGCATCAAGGAGTAGCTGCAGGCGGAGGGGGCCGGTTCTGTGCAGACAGACACTTGGAGATTTACAAAGGGGTTCGTCTAGATTTACACTGGGAATAACCAAGGGTAGCTCTCCCATGCCTCCAATTTCAAGATTGCAGCTGGGTTACTCGGGATTTGCACCAGGAAGGAGCAGAGGGCTCAATCATCATCCCTGTTAGGTTTACACTGGGGTTACACCAGGCTGTAGCCAGACCTACTGTGTTCTCCCTCACCGTTGGGTTTGCTCCTAGGGGAGCACAGGGGCTAATCTCCATCCCCTTTAGGTTTACATCAGGGTTACTCTGTGTTTACATCTGGGAGTAGCTGGGGAGTAGAGGGGCTGATGGCCGTCCCCTTTAGGTTTACACTGGGGTTACTCTGTGTTTACACCCGGGAGTAGCTCAGAGCTTCTCTGTTCTCTCACCTTTGGGTTTCCTCCTGCGCTCCCCGAGTGGGGAGCCGACCTGCGAGCCCCGAGGGCAGAGCGGTGTCGCTGGCTAGCCATGGGGCTGTGCCGGGGTTCAGGGGAGGGGAGTGTTGGGGGTCGGGGGATCCCCGTTTCCCCCAGGGCTTTTCCGGTGTCCCAATTCCCTCCCCCTAATCCATGGGGCTCTGTGCCGGGGTCCCTGGAATGGCCCTGGACCGCGTTCTGCAGGGACACGTGGCCTAGATGAAGTGTGGGGCTGGGCTGGGCTCTGCCGATGAGGGGGGCACTGTTTGGGGGGTGTACCGGGGGCTGGATCTGGGGGCATTGGGGGGTATCTGGAGACTTGGGGGGGGCTTTTGGGAAAAGGGGTGGATCTGGTGGTGTGGAGAGATGTGCATGGGGGGTACCCTGGCTGCAGGTGCTATGGAGGAGGGGTAAATCTGGGGGTGCAGAGGAATGGATATTGGGGGTACCCTGGGTGGGGAGGAGTGGGGGAGGGGTGGATCTGGGGGTGTAGAGGGAGGGATGTTTGGGGGTACCCTGGCTGGGGGGGGGAGTGGGAGGAGGGGTTTGGGTGGATCTGAGTGGAAAGGTTGAGGGATCTGTCCCATTCCCCCCATTTAGTCTGGGGAGGGCCCCCCAATTGGCTGCCCCCCCAGACACCCAGAGGAGGGGGGTGCAGAGGGAAAGCCATGTGCACCCCCATTCCTGTGTGAGCTGGGGGGGCACATCCAACTTCCCCCCCCGGGAGCCCCCTATTTGGGGGGGTACATGCCCAAACCCCCTCCCTCCTGTGCACAGTTTGTCCGGGGGGGGTTAGGCTATGTGTTGGGGGGAGGGGTAACCCCGCCAATTCCCTTTTAATCTCCTAATTAACTGGAGCCGGGAATGTGGAGGGGGGGCTCCGGTGCTGGATGAAGGGGGGCTCCGAGGTGGGGCCTCCCCCATGTGGGGGCTTTGCTTGACCCCCCCCTTTTTTCTCCCCCCCCAGCCTTGATCCTGTTCTTCTACCTGGTGTTTTACGGTTTCCTGACGGCGCTTTTCACGCTCACCATGTGGGTCATGCTGCAGACGGTTGACCCGTACATCCCCAAGTACCAGGACCGCCTCTCCGTGCCCGGTAAGGCCTTGTGGGTTGGGGGGCACCCTGGGGTGGGGGGCAGCATGCCCCTCTGCACCTGCATTGCCCGTCGCATGCTCATCGCACACCGGTTGCACGCTCATTGCACGCCTGTCGCACGGACGCCATACGCCCGATTGCCACCCCCGCCTCCGGCCCGGGTTCCTTGGCCACGGCCCCCGGCTGGTGCCATCGTGGGAGGGTGGCCCTGGAGGTATCCTCTTGTGTGCCCCCTATTTTTTTTGCACGTGCGTGTGCGGGCCGTGCACACGTGCGCACACACACACGCGCCTCTCCCGGTGGATCCCGCTCATTGCATGTGCCCGGCTGCATTGGCACGATATGGGGGGGGGCTAGAAATGCCCCCCTAAAGCAGACCCCCCCCAAAATATTCTCCCCAGGGATGATGATCCGCCCCAAGACAGACACCCTGGACGTGACGTTTAACGTCAGCAACACGGAGAGCTGGGACCGTTACGTCAAGATGCTGAATGACTTCCTGGAGCGTGAGTTGGGATGGGGCAAAGCGGGGGGTGGGGGTGGCGTCCCCCCATTAACCCCCATTTGGGGGGAAGGGTGTTGGGATGGGGATGGTGGCTTCTAGTTCTGGGGGACCGCGGGGTGGGTGTGGGGGAGAAGAGGGGGTGAGACTTCTGGAGGGGCAGGTGGGGTGTGCAGGTGGGACAGATCTTGGGGGACATGGGGGTTGGAGAAGCAGATTTTGGGGTGCGAGGGGAGAGAAGGGGGAGGGGAATTTGGGGCATGGGACAGGGGTAGATTTTTCTTTTTTTTTTTTTTTTTTTTTTGGGGTGTTGGGGGGGGGGGGGTGGGGGGGGGGGGGGGGGGGGGGCCGGATTGGGGGGGGGTCGTGGCCCCCACCCCACTGTGGATCCCCAGCGATGTGCTTAGCTCTTGGCGACCCAGGTCCCTGCCCCCCGCGTTGTATCTGCCCCCCTGCAAACCGCCTCCCTCCTCCCACGGCATGCATTAGCCCGGTTGTGCCTGATGGACTGTGGGGGGGGAGGGGGGCGTCCGTAGCCGTGGCTGTCTGGTCAGAGGGAGGATGCAGGTGAATGGCAGACTGCTGCCCCCTGGTGGCCATCAGCAGAGCCGCAACCTTTTCCATTAGGATGTTGTTAACCTGCGGAACTCCCCACTGCAGGATTTTCCTCAGGGCTTTAACTCTGGTAGCTCCTCAGCGCTAACCTGCTAACTCCCCCCTTGCCCCCCCCCCCGCAGCCTACAATGACTCCATCCAGGCGGCCACCAACGACGCGTGCCGCCCGGGCCGCTACAACGAGCAGCCGGACAACGGGGTGCTGAATTACCCCAAGCGGGCCTGCCAGTTCAACCGCACGGCGCTGGGCGCCTGCTCCGGCCTCAACGACCCCACCCACTATGGCTACGCCGACGGCCGGCCCTGCATCCTCATCAAGATGAACAGGGTAGGTGAGGCTGGCTGGGGTTTGGCCCCCCCAAATTTTGAGGGTTCTCCCCCACACACTTTTGTGACACCCTCCCTCTTCCTCCTTCCAGGTCATCAACTTCTTTGCGGGGGCCAACCAGACCATGAACGTCACCTGTGCCGCGAAGGTGAGCCCCCACCCCACCCCGCTGCCCCCCCTTCCATCACCCCCTTTTCTCTTCATTAATTTGCCTTCCTTGTCTCTCTCCGGCTCTTCCCGCCCACAGCGGCCCGTTTCCAAACTCCAGGCGGTAAGGGCCGTGTCCGGGCAGTGGGGGATCCCCCTCCTCGGGTGGGGGTGTCCCCCAAATATATACAACCCCCATCCCGGCTTTTAGCACTCCTGTCCGCATCCCGTAGGACCTTGGGGAGCCGCTGGTTGGTTGACTAGGTCCCCATGATTTGTACCCTGAGTTAGATGACGTCTGGCTGCACCCCGATTTGAAAAGCCCCCCACCCAAATTCACCTAAGCTCTGCCTCTCCCAGCCCCAGAGCAGTAAGTGGCTTTGCTGATCCTGTCCAAGACAGCACCCCCATTTTAGCAGATTCCCCCAACTGCACCCTGATTTGAGATCCCCCCCCCCAAATTCCCTGGCTACCGGGGTCTCTTCTCGCTACCTCTCCTTCTCGGCCACTTATTCACTCATTTCATCTCACTCTCCTCCGCCTTCCGGGCAGCTGACCCTCGAGATGGAGCGCGCAGTAAGGACAGGAAATGGGGGGGCTTGGGGTGCCATAATGGGGGTGGACAGGTGGCTAGGAAAATGAAGGGGGGACATGCCAGGGTGGGGCGGAGATGAGGTTGGGGGGGGCTCTGAGGATGGGGGGGAGCTGGGGGGCAGGCAGGGTGAATGCAGGGGACTAAGGCTGGGGGGATGGCGAGGGAACGGGGATGGGTTTTTTGGGGGGGAGGGGGAGACCCCAATGGGAACGTGCAGAGGGATGGGGTGGTGGGGGATGGCTGGAGGGTTCTGGGTAACCCCTGACCTCTCTCTTCTTCTCTTTCCCCCCCCCCCCGCCAGAAAGAGGAGGACGTGCAGAAGCTTGGGGAGATGGTGATGTACCCCCCCAATGGTCACATCGACCTCATGTATTTTCCCTACTATGGCAAGAAAGTCCATGTGAGTGTGGGGGGTGGTCTCAGCACTGGGGGGTTCTGGTTCTCTCCCCAGCTCTGGGAGGGGAGTGGGGGCTGGTGGGTTAGAGCGGGGGGGAGTGGGGGCTGGGAGCCAGGACTCCTGGGTTCTCTCCC